TTTAACAGTTTTGGCCTTCTTGTCGCCGGGCTTTCAGTGAAGCTGTGGAACTAAGAGATCTTCTAAATGAAGTTTTTTTTTTATTCCAATCTGAATTAGTGCTTGACTACGTTCCACCTGATGGTAAGTGGTAACGCAGTCGTTGATGGTAAGTCGCACTAATTCAGTAGCCACCTATTCACTCTTGCCTTGAAGACTCCCATATTGTAATTGGACGGAAAACCGACGCCGACAGGTTATTCCAATCCTTAGCCGCACGTATAATAAATGACGTAGCGAAACGCTTCGTGCGGACGGGTGGAATGTCCACGACATAAGGATGGAGACCAGCCGTTCGCCGGGTTGTCCGATGATGGAAAGGAGATGGGGGAATTAATTCGTGTAGTTCCTGCGCACACTCTCCGAAATGTAACCTATAGAATACACAAAGGCTGGCAACCCTACGTCGGTGATTAAGGCTTTGTAAGTTAGCTTTTACCAGTGTAGGGTCACCAATAAGCCTGTGAGCACGCCTCTCAATCGAGTCCAAGGCTGACAGATGACATTTCGCAGCACCAGCCCATATGTGGCTACAGTATTCCACACATGACCGGACTTGAGCTTTATATAAAACAAGAAGCTGTCCCGGTGTGAAATACTGTCGGACCTTAGCAAGGATGGCAACTTTCCTCGCTGCGACATTAGCCCTAGACTCGATGAACCGCGCATAGTTCATGTTGGGGGTAAAGTCCATCCCCAACAACTGCAGACGGTCAGTGTACTCCAGAGGCACATTCCGGAAAGTAGGAGTCAAGGTAAAAGGACTCCTTTTTGTGGAGAACAGGCACGCCTGCGTTTTGGTGGCGTTGAAACTCACAAGATTGGCATCGCCCCAGGTGGAGACTGTACTGAGTGTGAGATTCAACCGCTCTACCATGGCCTCTCTTTCGGACTGAATTTGATCTCTACTGGCCCGAGGATTCGGCAGGTATGTCTCTCTACAACAGTGCTGTCGTCCGCGTACCCATAGATACCGGGGATGAGCAGATCGTTGATATGCAGCAGGAACAAGGTTGCAGAGAGAACAGATCCCTGAGGAACTCCTGAGTTGATCTTTAAGGGTTGTGATGAACAACCCTCAACCACAACTTTGAGTGATCGGTCGCTCAGGAAATCTTTAATCCAGCCAATCAGGCCAGGAGATATACCATAGGCTGAAAGCTTGCTTAAAAGGCTAGCGTGCCAGACCCTATCAAAGGCCTTAGAGACATCGAGGGAAACGGCAATCGCCTCCCCACTTCGCTCAAGAGCTTCGCCCAAGGTGTGATTGGCATACACTAGAAGGTCCCCAGTCGACCGATTCCGGCGAAACCCATATTGTCGATCACTGAGGAGATCGTTCTGTTCTAGGTATGCCATAAGACGAGTGTTCAATACACGCTCCATAATCTTGCAGAGAATGGAGGTGATTGAGATCGGGCGATAATTGGCAGGGTCAGCCCGGCTTCCTTTCTTAGGCACTGGTTGCACGTTGGCAAGCTTCCAGGATTTAGGTACTACTCCAGTCTCAAGAGAAAGGCGGTACAGACGTGTCAGACTACTCGTATAATAATATATCGTCTCTAGTATAATAATATATCGTCTCTAGAATGGTATCTGTACCATATGTACTCCATGGAGTACAAAGCAAGTCTTACTGGCAGTGTCTGCTACGTCAGAGATTAAGAAGATAGGGCGAAATTATTTAATATTTGTATTTTATACGTATATGTTGTTATATGTATATTACCTATACTTGCAGATCGCAGAAGAAGATTTGACGACAGAATGCTCTGCGTCAATTAAAAATATATACTCATAGAATTTTATTCACAGAGTTCAGATTTTTACTTTTATGCGCAATAAAACTTTATAAATATTTTATGATACTGTGTTGATTAATTTAGTGACTTTCAGCAATGTTGAATCATAATGAGATCGTATATATTGTCTTATTAAATAAAATAACAATATCTACAAGTCCTAATAAGCACCAGTTATATATCACTAGCGACTCGCCCTCGCTTCGCTCGGGTTCGTCCCTAGCTTGCTTTCCCATACAAACTTTCATCCCCATTCTCACCCCTTTAAGGGATGATTTCTGGCATAAAAACTATTTTATTCAATCAGTTTTCATATCATGAGATTTAGAACTTATTTTGGTAAAAAAAAATACTCATAATTTTCTTCCATACAAAGCTTCTCCTAACAATAAATGACAAACACAAAAAAAGAATTATCCAATTTGGTGCAGTCAATCCGAAGTTATGCGCGTACATACATTTCGGTGATTCATTTTTATTTATATAGGTATAGATAGATAGTTGTATGTATTGCCTCAAAACATCATTATCAACTATTAAATTTTTTTAAATTTTTTTATCTGCAGCGTAGTAGTTCATTGATGATTCATTATAAATAACATCCCTTTTTAATAATATAAGAATTTAATACTTTCTTAGATTTACGCGAATATTTGACATTTTAAATAAAATTACGCAGCAGGTCAGACATTATCATACTACGCGCAGACAAGGGAAATGCCACCGTCGTGATGGATACATCAGATTACAATGAGAAAATTAAACAACTTTTGTCGGATGAAAGTACATATAAAAAGGTCAAAACAGACCCAACCACCACTGTGTTAAATAATACTAAAAAGCTGATTAAGAAACACTCCGATGCATTGAATCTTGATGTCAAAAATCTTGTTCCATCTTGTGCAAAGCCGCCTAAACTGTATGGACTTCCAAAGATACACAAACCTAACGCTCCGCTACGTCCAATTGTGAGTCAAATCGACACACCGACTTATAAATTGGCCCAACTAGTAGCGAAAGTACTCTCAACACTCAGAGGACAAACATCAGCGTTCACAAGGGACTCGTACCATTTTGTCAATGAGATAAAACACCTACAACTCATGGACAATGAAACTATGGTCAGTTTTGATGTACAGTCTCTATTCACCAGCCTACCAGTAGAGGACTGTGTCAAAATAGTATCAAGAAAGCTACGGGATAATAGTATGCAAGAAGAATACACTGAACTTTTGAAACACTGCCTTACATCTGGCTATCTATTGTGGAATGATGAATTCTACAAGCAAGTGGATGGAGTGGCCATGGGTTCGCCGGTCTCTCCCGTTGTAGCTGACATCTTCATGGAGGCCTTCGAGGAGACCGCCCTAAACACATCACCTGTGACCCCTCGTTTCTACAAGCGGTATGTAGATGACACTTTTACAATATTACCATCTGATAAAATATCTGTATTCTTAGAACATCTTAACTCCATAAACCCTAAAATACAATTTACAATGGAATTGGAGTCTAATAATTCTTTAGCTTTCTTAGATGTATTGGTTATACGTAACCCAGATAACACCTTGAGTCATACTGTGTATCGAAAGAAGACCCATACTGATAGGTACTTGAATGGTGAATCTCACCACCACCCTTCACAGTTAGCTACCGTGGGAAAATCTTTGTTTCAGAGGGCACGCGGGATCTGTGACGAGCAACACCTGGCCGGAGAGCTGCAACATGTCAAGCAAGTTCTGCGAGACAACAAGCTGCAAGTGCCGCGCCTACGTCACAGGGACCGAGTGAAACCAGCCACAGTCGAGCGCGTCCCTCTCATGTAAGGTAGGACTGCACCTTACATGAGAGGCGTCACTGACAAGATTGGCTACATTCTAAAGCGAGCTTCAATTAAAACTTACTTCAAGCCGCAAAAGAAAATTAGTCAGTTCTTACCACCAGTCAAGTGCCACATCCCTCTACAAGATGCAGGAGTTTACAAGCTTGATTGTGATTGTGGGCTCTCTTACATCGGACAAACAAAGAGATCCATTAGAACCCGGGTCAAAGAACACATAGCTGATGTGAAGCACCGTCGCAATACAACATCTGCTGTCTGCAAACATAGTCAGGACCGCCCAAGCCATTATATTCGCTTCGATAGACCTCAAATCCTGGCTAAAGAAAACCGATATCGCCCTAGAATGATTCGAGAAGCAATAGAAATTAAAAAACATCCTAATTTCAATAGGGAAGATGGCTGGGTACTACCATCGTCATGGGATCAATGGGTACTACCATCGTCATGGAATCAAATAATAAATATAAACATAACAGACAGGCAGATGTAGTAAGTTCATACTGTGTAGATCAAAATGAAAGCTTATCAGATTAATATTTTTCATTTTTTCATTTGTAAAAGTATATATTAATAGTGTTGCTTAGTAATTTGTTTTAAATAATAGCAAACTAAATTAAAATTATTATCCTTAATTAATTTTAACTTTTTAAATTACACATAGAACAATTATATGGCTTAAATAATTAATACTATATTTTATATTTTTCTTTATGGTTATAAATATAATAATGGCAACACTAAATATAAATTACTAATTAATATTTTAAAATTGTAATAATTATAATAATAATAGCAAAATTTAAATAAATAATTTTCCATATTCAATTATAATTAAAATTATAAAAATGTTTAAAGTTAAAAAAATATATTGTAATGAAATTGGTGCAATTTTCATTTTGTTAATTGTGGGTAGGCTGTCTGTAACAACTATACATTCAAGACATGTAACACCTCAGTCTCTCCCGTGACCATGGATGCTGTAAAGCATTCGAAACGTCGGGAAACAAAAATGCAAATAAATCCGCGACAAAATCCGAAAAGATAGTTTTATTTAAAATATAAGAATTTCTTATATTTAAAATAATTGCATATATTTTTCTGTGCGTGTTAATGAAATTAAACTACAATAATTTCATTCCACATAAAATAGTATTCAATTTTAAGCATCATATACATATGTATGTTAAACCACCTACTGTGAATGAAATAAACTTTATTCAATTAGACTTATTCTAAGTGCTTTTGAATTACTGTGAAAAAAACAGTGTTTAATGTTATGGACATATGTTACGTAAAATGATAAAAGTGGTACATACCTATCGCAGGGTCGAGAACAGCCTGTGCTGCTTGTTCTTCTCCTATAGGCGTTTTAAGGCATATTTTTTTGAGTTTCATCGCGACTGGTGAGTCCTCTGACTGGGCCACTGCAACGCAAAGTATGCTTAAAATATTGGTTATGAAATTTTATTACATATAATGAATAAATATGTTGGGACATTAAGACACAGCACCATCTAGTTCCATGGTAAGCTACGAGGCTTGTGTTATGGATTCCAGATAGTTGATACACTACACATATATAACTTTAAGTACATACATATTATAAATATAAACACCCATGACTAGAGTACAATCATTCGTGCTCATCACACAAATGAATGCCCCCAGCGGGATTTGAACCCGCGACCGCTGGCACAGCAAGTAAGGTCACTACCAACTGAGCCACACGCGTCGTCAAATAATAATAATATTTGATGTAGTAAGTAAACGTGTAAAGAATACACATAATTGTCGTTAAATGTTAATATGTTGGTTGATAACGGAACTTGTATAGTTTATATTTTTGACTTTTGTTATATATATTTCAAGCTAATTTACGAAAGTGACTTTTAATCCAGTTACTGCACGACTAATATATAATTATTTGTCCAGCTACCTTATTTTGTTTTTTTTTATTTTAAATTTAGAGCATAACCTAAAATCAGGATGAAAGATTATTTATTTGTAAGTTTTAGCTTTCGATTACGTGACGGACCCGACTTTTTCATAACGTAGGTTTGAGAAGGCTAAGGCGGGAGTGAAACGTAGCGAAGCTCCCGCCTTAGCCTTCTCGTTAGGTTTTTTTCAATTTCAAACTCGGAAACCCCCAATACCATAATTGCTTATGTTGTTTAAAATTAAAATATTTTTTTTTAATAATTAATCAATAGTCGGACACAAAAATAATATAAGACATAAGTCATACAGTTAATAGTAACATCCATACTAATATTATAAATGTGAAAGTGTGTCTGTTTGTCCTTCTTTCACGTCAAAACGGAGTGACGGATTGGCGTGACCCTTTGGGTGGAGATAGTTGGAGGGCTGAAGAGTGATATAGACTACTTTTTACCGTGTGAGTAGATGTCCTTCCCACGGAAAACACGTTATAATACAACCCAAAAAATATTTATGATCAAAATTATTTGAAACTTGGTATTAATGCCTTCAATACAATTAAATAAATACGAGTTTTAGCATTTTTCGAAATTCATTCGATAAGGAGGTAAAATAGGGGATGGAAGTTTGCATGAAATCTACCTTTTTAGAGCTTTTTATAGTTTTAGCGCGAGCGAAGCCGCGGGTTCTGCTAGTATGTAATGAAACTCATTATGAATACAATATGCCACTTTTTTCCTCGTCAATAATAATAATAACATTAAAAACCAATTTAATTAAACGGCAGACACTGCTATCACATGAAATATAGCCATGATCCACTTTGCATTGCCTGAAACTGTAAAGTGGAAAACCGGAGTGGTTGGTCGCTACGAACTCATAAAATACTAGAATTCTATCTTGAACAAACAGAACCTTTCTTAAGCAACTATGCACTAAAATTCCAGATTAAGTCCTGGCGTCATACTCGTAAGAGTCCGTCGCCGTCGCGCACCCCTTTATGTTATTACACAATTATTTAAAATGCGAGTACATAATCAAAAAAATAAGATTTATATAGGTTATTGAAATTTAGTTTTTTTTTTTTATTATGAAGTATTTTAAAATGGAACCGTTTAATTAAAGACGTAGGTATTGACTTCTTTAAAAGTTTTTTATGATGGTATTCAAAAATTTAACGACACATAATATTTCGTAATCAGTATTTAATATGTATACCTACTTACCAAATAATTTCAATAGCCATAGAATTACATTTTTTATTTAACTAAATATTTCGTATTACAATAAGAAAATATTGTCTGTTAAATAAAAAGCGATTATTAAAGTGACATCTGTAATATATGAATCCATGAAATATAATAAATGATCGCAATTAGGTGCATCTGGTTCATATTTTACTTGCTACAACTTGATACCTTTATGTCTACTAGCAGAGTGAATCGTGGGAGCAACCCCATGGTTATTGTGGTCTGCTTCGGCAGATCTACCGTCACGTCGGTGCGTCGTGGTTGAAGTGTGTGAGCGATCCTGCAACGCTCCATTAAGACGGGGGAGGTATTATTGGGTTTTAGTTGGTAGTACTAGCTTTTTTAACCGGCGAGTCCCACATAATTACTAGATCATTATGTAGACATACACAGTATGTGGGGTATAAAGAATCTCATCATCATCAGTCATCATGGGCTTATGGCCGTCCACTGCTGGCTGAACAAAGGCCCTTCTTGATTGAGCGCCAACCATCCTGGTCCTGGGCAGTTCATATTCATCGCAATCTTCACTTTAACACGTTTCGGGTAAACAGACCAGAAACAGACTAATTGTAAGAGATATGACCGGCCCACTTCTACTTCAGTGTGCCAATTTCGCTAAACATTAAAATACGAAAGTAAGTGGTATCTTAATTCTTAGGTAATGCTAAGATACCGCTCAGCAGTTGAAATGATTATGAGTCAATTTTTTAAGCCACACAGCCAAATATTGCTGAATGGAATTTAAATCGCTCGGGTGTGTTCCTAGGCACGTTTTGAATATATAAAAAACTTAAAAAGCTTTTGTGAGTGTATCTTAGGAGATCGACACATACTATCGTGGATTTTTCCGTAGGCATTATTAAGTACATTGTTTTGATGTTACATCTCTTAATTTTTAGCCAATCTTAGCCATGTAAGCATACAATAACAATTTCGTTGACAAAACGCCGTCATAGTTCAGCCATTTGTACAAAAAATCAAAATCCGTTTCTTGATTTAGTTCATATAAAAACGGAGAAACCGGACTGTTGCAGACAGCGAATTTGTATGAAGGACAACTCGGCCGTATTAATTATTATGTTTTCCCATGGGAATGAGAATGACAGATTTTCCTGTAGTATAAAAGGTATCCTAAATTTTGATCTGAGTAATTAATTATAAATACGTAAAATTTTGATAAAATCCGTTCAGTACTTTTTACGTGAAATGCAGTCAGATACACCGACAAAATATTCAACAACTATTGTTTTGTGGTCTAAATATTTCATGTACACTATTGTTAAGTATTTTATATTATTATTATCAACTGCCTCGGTGGTGTAGTGGCTAGCATGTACGGCTGCACACCCGGAGGTCCTGGGTTCGAGTCCCGGGTCGGGCCAAGTTTAGTTATTGAGTCTTCCTGTATAGTAAGTCTCAGTAACAGCCCGGAGTTGGGAAGTTGGCGGTGTTTCACCCCCGTGCCTCGGAGAGCACGTAAAGCCGTCAGTCCTGCGCCTTAATTCTCACCGGTCGTGTCGAGTGGTCGTCCCACCGGAGTATGAGAGTGATAGGAATAGAGAGTGCACTTGTTTCTGCGCGTACACTTGAGCACTATAATATCTCCTGCGCAGTTGGCTAATCTCATTGAGATTGGCCGTCGTGGCCGGAATCGGCTAGGAGAACATCATCATCATCATTATTATGATAAATGCAAAGTCAGATTTTTCAGAAAACCTTTAATATATAAATTACAAAGTTTAATAACTTAACTTGTTCAGTAACTTATATTTAGTATTAGTTTTTATTTTTGTTATACATACAAACATACATACATATTACATACGTATGAAGTATAAATATGTGAGCGTCCTTTCCGTTTCGTTAATAATAATATTCTGAATAAAATGACTTAAAAAATAAGACTAACAAACATAAAATAGATTACAGATTATTTACTTTTTAGGATGACAAAAACAAACCAACAACAATTTTTAAAATTTTGATCGGTTTATTGATTAACTTAATCTTTCAAACTAAGATTCGAAGAGATGATTGATGATGATGATGAGATTTTACATCTTACTAGATGTAAAATATAATATATCTAACAAATTATATAAAAATATATTCGCATTTATGAACATTTTGGGAGAATTACCGGTAAAACGATCTTTGTAAAAAATCATCCCTTCTGAGAGCTTCCGTATTATAATTACGTAGGGCCTATCTCTTGAGGCCACACTCAAAAAAACTTTTTAAGGTTTTTAATTTTTATATATTTAAAACGTGTCTAGAAACCCACCCGAGTGAAGCGAGAGTATATCGCTAGTATAATATATAGACACCAATTCTTAAAGTAGTCTAAAGAGCTCAAAGTACGTTTCGTCTACGACCTTGGGCATACGTCGGTCACGAGAGACCTCGCGGTCGAGGGGAGACTCGCTCAACAAACTACAAACACACGCCCTCCTGAAAATTCCACAACCACGACCACACTCAACGTGAAAAATATAAGTCCCATTTATTTAAGCAACAATGACTAAAAATTAAATCGAATCAATATAAAAGCAAAGAAGACATGTAAGTAAAGATAATCCAAAAGATGCAAAACACGTAAAAAAATTAGTGACGAAACAACAAACAGAAACACATGAAATATATTTTACCTACAATGGCATGAAATGGGAATGGTAGTGAAATTTTATTTCCAAATTAATTTTCTTTAAAATATTTAATTTAAAGTCACTCTTGTGGTTCTGTTTGACTTAATAAATATTATCAAACGAATCAACAATCAAAAGCAGCGGCATATTCTTAGTGGAACAAAAGTTTGGCACTTCTTTTAACCATATTAGAGCTTTGGAATGATATAAAATAATCGGTCAGTTGTAATGGTACACGAAAGCTTTGATATGGCTTTGCAGTGACTCTTATCATATACGATAATCTCTTATCATAATAGAAGAGTGGAGAACGATTAAAATATTTGAGTAAAATAGTATACATTTTACAGTTTCGGTAAACAGAACAGCGAATATCTGTCACTTAAATACGAATTTGTGTTACTAACTCGCGGCATGATGTTCGTGAGTGCGGACAAAAGTCCGTAATACCAGAGGAACTGTGGCACAATGGTATGTAATATGTATCATGCCGTCACACAAACCATACGATATGTAGTAGTAGATAGTGTAGTGATATAAACACATGATAAATATGTTTTTTCCTATTTTAATTATTTACAAAATATT